CCAAAGGTGTTCTATCGGGTTGAGGTCAGGCCAGTCAAGTTCCCCCACCCCAAACTTGCTCATCCATGTCTTAATGGACCATGCTTTGTGCACTGGTGCTCAGTCATGTTGGAACAGGAAGGGGCCATCCCCAAACTGTTCCCACAAAGTTGTGGGCATGAAATTATCTGAAATGTCTTGGTATGCTGATGCCTTAAGAGTTCCCTTCGCTAGAACAAAGGGGCCAAGCCTAACCCCTGAAAAATAACCCCACAACATAATCCCCCCCTCTACCAAACTTTACACTTGGCACAATTCAGTCAGGCAAGTACTGTTCTCCTGGCAACCGCCATACCCAGACACGTCCATCGGATTGCCAGACAGAGAAGCGTGATTCGTCACTCCAGAGAACACGTCTCCAATTCTCTAGAGTCCAGTGGCGGCGTGCTTTACACCACTGCATCCGACACTTTGCATTGCACTTGGTGATGGGAGGCTTGGATGCAGCTGCTCGGCCATGGAAATACATTCCATGAAGCTCTCTACGAACTACGCAATTTCAAACCTTTCATACTGCCTCTTAGACCTTTCCTTATGAATGTATGCAAATTACCTTGTGGTAGGGTAAGCTAATCATGTTCCTTCCTTCACCATCCAAACGGCTCCCAGACATCTCTTGAGCTGTAAACAATGCTGTTATTCTCCCCTCCCGACAGGTCTGCTGCTTTGGGCTCATATTTTATAATTAACATGCTAAGATGCATTGCACCAGTGTAAACTAGCCACACGCTAATGATTAATATTTCTACTTTAAATTAATTTCCATGTCGTAAAACATGTGCGTCTTACTGCAGAAAAAAGCCCCTTTTAAAGGTTTTCAGCAGTTATTGGTGGGAAAGTATAACCTGATTTCCATGAAGCTTACATCAAGCTCAAGCATAAAGCCCTTTTACCATTCTTTAAAATATTAACCTAAACTAAATAATTCTGCTGAACCATGTGATTTAAATATAAAACACAGACTGAAAATTGTATTAGTCTTTATTATTTACCTTATTTGCTTATGTGCAGTAAAAAGAAATATGAAACACAGTTTGCATTTATATACAGTATTTACAATGTTTCGCCCACTGTGTAGTTTTTTTTTCAAGTTACCACTTTATTTTGTATCAGCAAAGACGCTTTGTAGTCCATATGCTAGTAACAACTCGATAGATATTATTATTCATAATTATATCTTCCAGGTGACAAAGTAACACATGGACTTGAAAATGACTTCTTAAATTGACCACACATTATTAAGCTGCCAGAATCTCCAGCGCTTCCTGTTTTACACATTTGTAAAAAAAAAAAAAATGTAGAGGTTAGAGATGGTTTACACATTCACTCACATGTAATTTTTATGTCGGTCGCGTGTGACAAACCGGAAGGTATGGACACCCTCCCCTTTTTCTAGTAGACTGCCATCTCATTTTGGCAAGCCATAGAAAGAACCCACAAAAAGGCTGAAGCCACAGAACTCCTTCGTGAAGCAGTTTTTTTTAAATAAAAAGACTCATACGGGGGGAAAATATATACAGTTTTTGCATGATTTTAGCATTTCTCGTTGTGTTCATTTTAATAGGTGGCTTAACACACATTATGTCAAATTCCTGATAATTAACTGAATGGCAGGTTTGCGTTTTTATACAAGTGTTAAACACTCAGTCTATAGGAGTGTCTCTCTCTCTCTCTCTCTCTCTCTCTCTCTCTCTCTCTCTCTCTCTCTCTCTCTCCACTGGTCTGTATATAGATTTGAATGGGACACTGCTCTTGCTGTATGGGTATGGCTCACTCAAGTCGAAGAAGGTAAGTATGGACCTGCGTGGAAGCTCACTGCTGAGTATTTTGAGGGGGCCTATGAGGATTTTTGCACACAGTCTTTTTGGCGTTTAGAATTACTTTTGCCATTGTGTGATTTCACTTTTTCTTTCTTCAAAATTATGGGTATTTTTTATGTAATTATTTAAAGCAGGGTTGGCAACAGACCCAGACATACCCGTCGACCACAGCCATGTAACAGGTAGATTGTGGCCCTGATGTGCCAGCTCCTGACCCTGCCCTCCCCCTCTCAGATCAACGTGGCATTGAAGAGCTAAGGAAAGTCCTAGTCTCCTCCTTGGCTCTGACATGCTATATGGCACAGCCAAGGAAAGTCCTGGGAGAACTTCCTCACTATGCCAGTTTTTTTACTCCTGACCTCTATACTGTGTGTTGTATACTACTGACCTCTTCATTGTGTGTTATGTACCACTGACTCCTGCATTCTGTATTGCATATTACTGACCTCTGTAGCCCATGTTATATTCTACTGGCCTCCTGAACTCTGCGTTACTTGCTCCTAAATTATGTGTTACATGCCACTAGCCTCTGAACTCTGCATTACTTACTACCCAATCCCAAAATCTGCATTACTTACTGCTGACCTGAATGCTTCAAACCTACCTTACTGTTTATTGGGGCCTTGGTAGGTTATATCCTAAAAAAAAAAAGTGTACAGAGTCCTGGTGATTTCTTGTTGTTAAATTCTCCACCTCTCCAGGGTTGCCAACCCCTGAAGTATGGAAACCCTACAAAACCACTCCCCTTTGTTATGGACAATAGCAGAGGGGTGGCATTCTGTAGTGCTATCCTGTTTGTGTTTTTGTGATACAGTAGATTGAGTATGTGTTGTCATCATAGGGCTAGAAGGAAGTTAGTGGCAGGACCATCAGCTAAAAATAAAGGGGAAAAAAGCTTGAACATGAAACTAATGCAGTTACCACATCTAAGGACTGGTAAGCTGCCATATATATATATATATTTCTGGTTTATATATTCTTTAACGATTTTAACATTGAATTTAAACAACACTGCTTGCCATTATGGTCCTCTTCTTTTGATATGGTGTCAGTACTCCTCCTTCTGTAGAGAAATGTCTGCTTTTGTAGCTGCTGGGATGCTGTCATGTATAGCCCAATCAGGGAATAGCTACACCTAGTCATGCGCACAACCCTTTAGATTGACAGCACATTACTTCATCTGCTAGAGCTTAGGGAAATTATGTAAAATCCCTGCTATGTTCCTCCCACCTCCTTGAGCACTGTCTACCTCGTTATTAATGGTAAATGCAGCTGGGAAGCTGCATTCATTCTGCACCTTGCTAAATGGCATTTCTTAGAGGTAAATGTACATTTTCTAAGCGGTAAACTGCATTTTTTTTTTTACATGCCAATATGCCTTGAAAATAACTCTGAAAGGAAAAAAAACCCCAAAGACTGTAGATGGACTAAGCCGCTATGTTTGAATCAATTTAGGCATGTAGGTAACAGTGCACAATACAGCTGGCACTCATAGGGTGCTTCGTGTAGCCATTCAAACAAACTGGTGCCTCGGAATGAAAGCTACCTAAAATCTTCAGGCACCATTTATTTTAGTGAGATCCAACGAAACAACATTTTGATAAGAGTTTTATGTGTATTCGTGCATCCTTTCTGTTCCCAGACGTGTGGGGGAAAATAATCTACACCACGTGGGAACCCGCATATTCTGGGTTTTCATGAGATATTTGCTGGGAGATGGGAAGAGGGAATATCTACTCACGTGTGTTGAATATAAAGAATATCTAGCAGAGATATCAGGGCTAACAAGAATTGATTGGTTATGTGACTATTTTTATTATCTTAAAGTGCATCTAATTTCAAGGACAGAAAAGTTATTTATTTTAGCATACTAGTCTCTAGATGTGGTGGCTGCATTATTTTTGATTCTTTTTTTTTTTCAGGCTACAAAAGTAGCAAGTAGAAGAAAAAAATATGTTGATCCTGATACAAATCCAGTGTGCTTGTAACTTCCTGCGTTCTAAACTGAAATCCGAAATCTGAAACAATGTTATCAGCTATTCCATATCAGCTATTCAATTTTCCAGTAACACGTTTTATACACATTTTATTGCACACACTAGGGCAGTGGTGGCGAACCTATGGCACGGGTGCCAGGGAGGGCACGCTGGGCCCTCTCTGCTGGCACGCGAGCCCAGGTTCAGGGACCACCAATGGAAATAGATCAGACCGTCCTGGATCGCCTCAGTATGCAATCAGGGCCAGTCACAATCTGGCAGCGGCCTCTAAACAGGCAGATTTTACAGGCCGCCCCCTGATTGTGACCTGCCCAACTACAGAGGCTATCCGGGACGTTCTGATCCCCCGTGAGAGCCGCACAGCCTTTCCCCCTCCCCTCCTGAGAGCAAAACAACCTTCCCCAGCCCCCCCGGGAGCCTCGAAGGCCTCCACTGGGAGGGATAGTTGTGCTGGGCACAGTGTACCTGTTTTCTTCCTCAGTATGTTTTTTGGTATGATATGATAACAATGAATGGCAATACTACAATACTACATACATTTGTACAGTTTCTACTCTACAATCTACTCCTACACCTTGCAGGCTTTGTATCATTGAAAAATAAATTCAGTGACCATCTTTGTAATTGATATCACCGAAACCCCCTCAAGCCTCATTCTAATTTTCATATATCTTACAAACTGTGTCATCAAGAAGGTAGAACAATCCAGAGGCATCTTTTTTTTTTATGCTGAGGTAACATGAACATTTTTTATATTTTTTTATTAGTCTTATTTGCTTCCATTGCCCTTAGTTATTCTTGTTGTATTACTTGTGTTCATGGTTTAGCAATATGCATTGTAAATAGCACTGCTTGCCATTGTGAAACTCTAAAAGCTGTGTTGGAAGATGCTATGATGACACCAAACAAAAAAAGCCTTTTTTCTTTAAAGCAGAACTAAGGGCAAACTATAAAGTCAGACTGTCTATACCAATAAGACCAGGCTGTCTGTTTTTGTTTTTTTTCTTGTAAGTAATCCTCGAACATTTTGTAAATATCATCTGTTGATCCTGCCATTAGAACCATTAGATATACACTTTGTTTGGTAGGGTGACAACGCTCACCCTACTGTACAGAAAGGACTGCAATGTTGTCACCCTTGCTATACTTGCCATATATTATACAACATATTTTATCAACAAAGTAGGACAATCCAAATCATTATCCACTTTTTTCGTTTGCTGATATTGACATGTTTTGTATTAGTCTTATTTGTTTCCATTACCCTTAAATATTCTTTGTGTTTTACTTGGTTCGTGGTTTAGAGGTATGCATTGTACTACTTGGCTTTCCGTGATATCACGTGAGCTTCCATCAGCTGCTGGTCTTGTGGCGCTGGAGGAAGATATGCTGGCTTGCCTCCTCAGTATTTTCATGATCTGATTTTTGTATCCTTTGCATGCAAAGAAGTATATGAAAGGATCCAGGCAGCAGTTAAGGTTCATGAGACACACAGTAATATGAAGTACGACATGAAAGATCTGCCTCTCGCTGCAGTCTGGTTCATATGTTAGCTTTTTTAACATATACTGTGTGATAGCAATGTGATAAGGAGTAAAACAGATGAAAAACACCACGATGACTAAAATGATTGTGCTGGTTGCTTTTTTGTTGGTGCCAGATTTTTCTGTCAATGGATTTTTCTTTGCAGTCTGGCACAGTTTGAAGCTTATTTGTGAATAGCAAAACAGTATAATTATTAAAGGAATGAAGTATCCAATGAAACATGCACCAAGAAGCATAAACGGCAAATGTTCAATTTTTTCAAAGTTGGGGTATTCCATACAGGTAATCTTATTATTTGACTCTTCATTTGACATTTCTAGTAGCAGTAGAGGAAATGTTTGGAAAAAGACCAGCAGCCAAACCACAATGCAGATGATTTTCGCAGACCTCACCCTCCGGATCCTGTTAAAACGGTGTGGATGTACTACGGCCAGAAACCTGTCGATGCTTAAACAAGTCATGAAGTTTACACCAGCATAGGTGTTTATGTAAAGGAAAAGGGCAGTGATACGACAAAATGCTTCTCCTAATATCCAGTTAAAGCCCAAGGCATAGTATATAATTCTGGTAGGTGAGGCAATAGCAAAAAAAATATCCGAGATAACCAAATTCTTTGAGTAGAGAGTGGTAGAGTTGAGCTTCTTTCTGTTTTTGTGGATAACAAACAAAGCCAGTATGTTTCCAAAGAGTCCAAACAGGAAGATCACACAATAAAATATGGGCAGAATAATTCTTGCTGTGTTGCGGTGGAAGTACCAGTCACATTTCTCATCTGAACTGTTGGTGACATTCATCTTTACAACACTTCTGGAAAACATGGTGGACAATATACAGTTATTACATATGTGCAAGTTATTTTTAACAGATCATTATTGCACATTGCTTCATTATTATTGCAGCAAAATCCCTGAGTACACCAGAAAAAAATGCTATTAATTTCCAGTGTGCATATCTGTAAAAAATAAGCCAATGCAACTGGACTTGCTGTATTTTTCTTGAAGACTTTTCACTGGACATCCGACCAGCTTTCTCAATTCAGAATGACTTGTAAAAAAAATTATCTGGGAATAAATATGGTGAATGTTGCTCCAATTCACATAATCTGTTAGTTGCAACCAGGTGTTGATTGCACTTGCATAATTGGAGCCTAGGAGGTTATTAACCTGCCCAGAGAGAGGTGTTAAAACAGCATTGTATGTAGCAGACAATAGATGTCTCCCCCCACTCACCTCTAATTCAAGCTTGGCTTCTCCATTTTTACATAAATTGCCTCTTTCACACCTCTTTTAAACCAGTCCTCCTCCCTGTCTAGGATGCGTACTTGATTGTCTTCAGCGAGTCCAGTTGCCTTTTTTTTACAGATATACCATGACCTGGATGAATAAGAACCTTCACAGACAATTTCCAGTGTGTATATTTGGGTTCACAATTTTTACTGCTGCTTGGTAATTTCCTAAGCTCAACTTAATTCATATAAAAGGAAAATGTGACTTCTATTAAAGCCCACCTCTAGCTACTAACAAATCCCATCAGTATACCTCTCTTTATGCATCCCAGCATGTCATTTTGATTAAATAACACCTTACCTGAAGGAAGAACTCCAGGTATGTAATACGTTAACCCTTGCAGGCTACTGCCCCACTGCAAGGGTTAACTGCTCGTTTTGGTCTATGGGGCTAAAATAAAGGAAATATACTCACCTGAACCTCATAGTTACATAGTAGGTGAGGTTGAATAAAGATACAGGTCCATAAGGTTCAACTATTGTGTGTGTTTATAATGCTAGCGATTCCCATAACCCTGTATGTTCTGTAAACTGAGAAACTTATCCAACTGTTTTTGTTTTTTTTAAAGCTGTATCAGCAGAAAACCTTAACTGCAGAAGTGAATTCCACATTGTTACTGCTATCACAGTAAAGAACCCCTTGTGCAGTCTGAGATTCTACCACATCCCCCCTCGATTTCTTCAGTCCCCATTGATGAGTTTGTAGCTCTCTCTCCATCTCC